AAAAATAATTAAAAAAATAAGAAAAACAACATAAAAAAAAAAACTACCAAAACAGCAATATGATAAAAACCACGAAATAAAGAAAAAAAAAAAAAAGAAAATAAACGAAACAACCCCCCAAAAAAATAATTAAAGCCTAAAACAAAAACATCAAAGTAAAAAAAATTAGGAACAAACTTATAAATAATAAAAGAATAAGAATCCATAAAATATTTATTAACAAATTCAATAACAACATAACGAAAAATATAGTTAAAAAAACAATAAATAAAAAATAAATAAAAAAAAGCTACCAAGAACTCAAAACGATTAAAAACAAAAACTAAACTTATTATACTAGAGATTCATCAAAAAGTAAAAACAATAGAAAAAAAAACCAACAAAAAACAAGAATAATAAAACAACTTACTAGAAAAACCAACATAATCGAAAAAAAAACAACCAACACGAAACAAATATATTATACGATAACAATAACAAAAAGTTAAAAAAACCCCAAAAAAATAAAAAAAAACCAAAAAAAAGTTAAAAGAACCATAATAAAATCGAGACATAAAGTACTCCTTACTACAACAGCCACTAGTGAAAAGCAGACCACACAAACAAATCACCGACACAAAAACTTGTAATTGAACCAAAATTGGAGCACAAACACCCAAATAAGAATATCCCCGATAATCCTGGCTACCACAATTAATATAAATTAAATAGCCAATCTGCATAAATAACAAACTTTTAAAAAAAGAATGACTAATTATGTGGATAAAAGAAACATAATGTAGACCACTGCCAATGGCCAAAAAACAAAACCCAATTTGAGACATAGTACTCAAGGCAACAACTTTTTTAGCATCCTGCTCAACTAAAGCGCAAAATCCAGAAAAAACTATGGTAAAAAAACCAACATAAAAAACAAAAGTTAAAACATCAGAATTCAAACAAATATAAAGATAACAATCCATAAGCATAACACCGGCAGTAACCAAAGTACTACTATGAACTAAGCAACTAACAGGAGTTGGAGCAGCCATAGCCTTAGGTAACCAACTACCAAAAGGATACTGCCCACCCTTAATAAAAGCAGAAATAAACAATATAAAAACCAATAAAGAACTAAAAAACTGATAAGAAAAAGTACCAACAGAAAAAAAAACAAAACCATTAAAAAACAAGAAAATACAAAAATCACCAATTCGATTAGTAAAAACAGTACTCATAGATCTCCTACGGGAGACTACATTATTATAAAACAAAACCAAAAAAAAACTACTAACACCTAAAAAATCCCAAAAAATTAAAACTAAAATAACACTACCACTAAAAACAATCAATCCTCCCATCCTTAAAACAAACAAAAACAAAAAAAAAAAAAAATAAAATAAACGAGAAACACCCTGCATATAAAAAGAGCCATAAACAAAAACTATAAAAGAAACCAACAATAGGACAAAAAAAAATAAACAAACCTCAAAATTATAAGTAAAAACAAAACTAAAAAAATCACTAAAACCACAAACATAAACTCATTTACCATAAGGCAACAATATAATCAAAAAAATCAAGAAAAAATAAAAAATAAGAATATACCAAACAAACAATAAAAAAAGCTTAAAAACCCTTTTATCGTAAATAAAAAATTCAAACAATAAACTAAAAAGCTAAAAGACCAAAACCAGCTAACAGACAATAAGCTATACTAAAATATACTAAATCTTTAAAAAAAAACTGAAAAAAATCTAAAAGCCCCAAACATTTTATTTTAAAAATTAAACTAATTCAGTAAAGTTAAAGGCAAATACCTAAAAAAAGTTTTCAAAACTTAAAAAAATTAACTCAAGGCTAAAAATCAAATGATCTGCAATCATCTATATTAAATTATACTACTAACCCAAAGACATCACAATAACTTTCCAAAATATCACTCCATATAAAAACTAAAGACAACATAAAGAAAAAATAAAAAAAAAGAAAAAATACCATAAAAATCACCCTGGATCAAAATAATAAAAATAATAACCTCTAACTCAAAAACAACAAAAATCAAAACAATAGAAAAAAAAACAACACTAAAACTATCCCGAGCCCCAGAAAATACATCAAAACCACACTCATAAGAACTCAACTTACCAAAATCAATAAATTTATAAGAAAAAACTATGGACAAAAAATATATAAAAAAAGGAACCAAAAAAGAAAAAAAAAAAACAACAATAAGATTTAAAAAAAGAATAAATTCCATAAAAATAAAAAGATCATAAATATTAACCTCCATAACTTTCCTTTCGTACTAATCCCAATAAAAACAAATAAATATACAAGATAAACCGCTCTGTCTCACGACGAACTAAACTAATATCAAGTTCATTTTTTATACAAGAAGAACAGTCTCAAAAAAAAAAAATTCTCTCTCTTTCCACAAAAAATATACAACATCGATGTAGCGCAGCACACTAATATAAAAAACTATTTATATGTCCACAACCCTGTTAACTCCGGAGTAATTTTTAAAAATAAAAATAGTAAAAAAAAATTTATTAAATTCCATCCCCAAGAAAATATTAGCAAAAAACAAAAAAAAAAATCAAATACTAAAACAAAATTTCCGAAGACTTATCTTTGTAATATTACAATCAATAATTTTTAATAAAAAAAATAATTCAAATAAAATATAAACAAAAAAATTGCTAAAAACTCCATTCATACTTGAAAACAATAAAAAAACAAATCACTTACGCTACTTTGATGCCATCACGCTAAGGCTGCCATTTAAAAAAAATCATAGAGCAGAAGACAACTTTAAAAAAAAACCTAAGTTTTTAATAAACATTTAGCAACAAATCAAGTTCTAAAATAAAATTTAAAAATAAAAACAACACAAAACAAAAAAAAATTACTAAAATAAAAATAATAAATTAATTAAAAAATTAACCAAAAAAAAAAAAAAAAAAAAAAATATTATTTAAACAAAACAAATAACATATCAAAAAAAATTATATTAAAACTACAAAAAATAAAAATATAACTTAACTATAAAATAATAAAAAACAGAAATAAAAGTACGTTATATCAATACAAAGTTATAATTATAATTAATTTCGTAAAAATAAAAAATAATAAACCTTGACACTTTATTTCTATTATTCATAAACTATGATAAAAACTTCTACTGATATGCAATACCAAAAAATAAAATTAAAAAATAATTAAAATTCAAAAAATCTTTTAGACCACAACTAAATATTTAAAAATTAAACTGAGAATTCAATCTAATAAATATCCTAAAGACCAAGATTTTCAACACTCCAAGGAAGTTAGCTCTAAAGCAATAGGCATAAATCTGTGATTAGCACCACAAATTTCAGAACATTGACCGTAAAATAAGCCACAACAAGAAAAATTAAAAGTAATTTTAGTTAATAAGCCATTCAAAGCGTCTATCTTAACAAAACACTTAGGCACAGCAAAAGAGTGAATTACATCACTGGAGGTGCAATAAAAACCGATATTAACACCAACAGGTAGAACACAGCGATTGTCTACATCAAATAGCCGAAAATCGCCCAAACTTAAATCATCTACAGGCTTTATAAAAGAATCAAAAATTAACCTACTATCCCCATATTCATAACTTCAATATCATTGATGACCAATAACTTTTAAAGTTAACTCTGATTGACGAAATATGCGACCTTGATACTGAATTAATCAAAACCCTGGACCAGCCATAATAACTAAAAAATTGACAACTAAAACCTGTAAAATTAATTCGATCATACGGCTATCGCTGCGCTTTAAATTAAACTTAAAAGAATTTCCGTAGAAATACAAGCCAAAACTTACCAAAAATATAATAAAAAACCCAAAAAAAATAACATGAGAATAATAATTATGGATAAAATAACAACAAAAAACATAAGAATTACTAGGAACAGGGAACACATAATTTTGTAAATAAATTATTAGCTCAAAATCCTTTTGTTTGGAAAACAAAAATACCAAAAATACTAAAAAGCCAAAAGAAAAAAAAAATTATAACAAACCATTGTCCTATCAAAACAAAATTCTAAACTTAAACTACTATAATAAAATAAAACTAAATCATATTTAATAAAAATATGCAAACCAAAGTTAAAAAAATGTAGCTTTGTAAAAAGGCAAAAAACAATTCTACAGGTACAACAAATAATAAAGAAAAAAAAGAAAAAAAAAACCCTAAATCCAAAATAGTAAATATCAAAAAATGGCCGATCAAAAAAATAATACTAATACGTAAAGTTAGGGCCACACCGCTCATCAAAAATCTTAACCAATGGGAAAAAAATATAACTAATCTAGAAACTCATTCCCAAGAATGGTCCTCTTCAAAAAAAACTATAAACCCATCAACAGCCAAAGTAAAAGTACGGACCCCAAGTCAAGAAAAATTAGTAATAAAAAACAAGAAACCAACACTAGCCCATGGGCTAAACAAAGGAAAAACTAGCCCACAAAGCCAAAATATAGTAAGAAAAAATACTATAAACTTAAAAAAAAATCTAGACTGAACACTCTGGTGACTAAATCTCCCGACTAAAAAATTAAAAAAATAACCTAAAACACCCGAACCAAACTTCAACAACTCTATATAAAATAAATAAAACAATATCAAAAATCAAATAAAAGATAATAAAATCGCTTAAAAAAACCTATATCTTTTCAAAATATTATTCAAAAAAATTAAACTAAATAAGCACAATATAAAAACAATGAAAGAAAATCCAAAAAAATAAAATCCGATGGGTAAAAATAAAAATCAACAAACGTATATTAAAACATCAAAACGAAAACGAGGATAGGCCCTTCGGCAAAAAATAATCAAACAAACAATAATATAAAAAAAAAAAAATCTTATACCAAAAAACAAGCTAGAAGTTAGGCAACTAAAGTATAGTAAATTACCATATTCCCCCAAAAACAAAGAAGCAAAACCAACACTAGAATACTCCACATTAAAACCTCTGACTAACTCACTTTCACATTCAGATAAATCAAACGGAGCACGGTGCAAATCAATCAAAACTAAACAAAAAAAAGGCAAAAAAATAAAAAAAAAAAACAAACAAAAACTAAACGACAAGCAAAGCCTTTTATTAAATAACAAAAAAATAAGTAAATAAACAGAAAAAGCAATTTCATAAGAGTAACTCTGGGCACAAGCTCGAAGCCCCCCAATAAAAGAATATTTACCACCACTAAAAATGCCAGATAACATAATAAAATACGCAGAAACCCCCATCAAACAAAATAAAAAAACACCAGAATAATCAAAAGATATAAAAACAAAAAAATAAGGCAAAGTAAACCAAAAAAAAATCATTAAAATAAAACCACAAACAGGTATCAATAAAAAAGATAGCCAAGAAGAAAAATAAAAAAAAAGTTGCTCCTTCTTCAGCAATTTAAGCCCATCAAATAGAGCTTGAAAAACACCAGAATATCCTACCTTATTGGGGCCAATACGACATTGAGTACCACCTAAAAAATGACGCTCTATTAAAGTCAAAAAAGCAACAGCCTGTAAAATAAAAATAATTATAAGAAAAACACCGACATAGTAAAAAATAAACAAAGTAAAATCCAAAGAATTTACAATTCTTTATTCTAATATAAACTAACACTTTAAAAAATAGAGACAAGTTTCCTTACCTCTACCATACTACAACTTACGCCCCTGTAGGCCATTGACGGATGGTTTGTACCACCTTATTTATTAAATTCATCTTCATATAAAAAAAAAATTACTTTCTTTTCCAATTTCAAAAAAAAATAAAAAAATAATCCAAAAAAAATTAATAATAGTAACACACGATTATAAGTCCATAAGCCAAATATATATCTGTTTTAAATGACAAAACATAAAAAGCATTACAAATAAAATAAAAACTAAACAATCATACATGTGCCGATAAGACTCACCAAAAAAGAGGGCTCTCCATACGCATATTCCAAAGAAAAATCCAAGGTCAGTCAATATTTTTTCGGTTTAAACAAAACTTTACTCCCGAATTAATTAATTTTGATTACCTGGGTACTAATCCAGTTCAAAAAACAAATTTTAAATGTCTTTTTAAAAAATATAAAAACTAAAACATTTTACAAAAATAACATAAAAACAAAAATAAAAAAAAAGACAAAACAACAAATAGAGTTAAAAATTAAAATGTATAGCCGATTATTCTGGAACACTTATAAAACAATTAAAAAACTACCAGTGGATAAAAAATTACACATTAAATAAACTAAAAATAAGTAATATTATCTTAATACAACTAAAACCAAAATCAAACTTAATATTATAAAAAATAAAACATTACCTTATCAACACCATACCCCTTAACACTAAAAAAAAAAATAACTAAGCCAACAACCCCGGATATAAGCCCAAAACACAAAAAATAAAAAAAAATAATAGAACTAAAAAAAAAAACATAATAAACAAGTAAAGAAAAAAATAACAACTCAATACCAAGTAAAATAAAAATTAAATAATTATATTTAAAAACAAAGTAAAAAAAACAAAAAAAAAACAAAAATACCTAAAGAATAAACCTTTTGATTAAGAGTCAAAAATTCTAAATTTAAAATAATCCTTTAAATACGGCAACCTTGAAAATATGAATCTCACAGACTTAAAAATTATCCTACCATATTAAAGAATTTTTAACCTACTAATCAACAATTAGTTATACAAAAAAAATTATACTTAAAATTCCTAATAGCTTAAAACCAGCCGCGCTTAAAACGAATATACTTATTATACTAAAAAGCCATGTGCATAAAAATCTCAAGATTGCAAATCAAATATAATAACCTTATAATATATACACTATGTTTAATTCCTTTTTTAGTTAGTGGAGATTGATCTATTAAATAAATACAATTCTATTAGAGTATTATAACTTTAATGTTATAATACTCTAAGAATTGTATTTAATTTAGTAATTATTTTAAAATAATTACTAATAATTATTTATAATTATATTGGGTAACAAAAGAAAGAAAATAAATAAAATAAAAAAAAATAACAAAAATAACAAAAAATCATCATTAAAAATAAGCTACAAAAAATAACAAAGTAAAACAGATATCTTATAATTAGAAATTAAGAACCTCAAACATATAACAAGCAAAATATGATACCTCACATTCACTCTAAAAATCGCCAATAATCGATAGATATATCATACGCTTGAGTGTGGTACCAATTAAAATTGTGAAATTTAACACGAAAAAAATTAATAACAAGAAAAAAAACACCAATTAATACATGACTGCCGTGTAAGCCAGTACCAATATAAAAAACTCTACCATAAATTCTATCATTTATAACAAAACAATTATGAGTGTACTCAAAAAATTGAAAACACAAAAAAAAAGCACCAATAAAAATACACAATAACAATAAATTTTCACATTTATTAATATTCAAACATAAATAACGTCGAGAATATTTCAAAACCTGCCTATTTATTATCAAAAATAAGCTAGCCATACCATTAATGCCCAAATAGTCAGGAGATAAAATGCCAATGGGTGACCAAATCCCACCTAGCCAAGTCAAGGGGCACAAAGAAGAGTCTAAAAAAGTCCAAAAAATAGAAAAAAACAAAGTCAATTCACTAAACAAAAATAAACGAAATCCTTGGCTAAACATCCGATAGTCATAAAAAGAATATTGACCGCTAACATCTTCCAAAAAAACATCCTTCATCCATAAAAAAGAAATATATAAAAGATACAAAAAACAGATAAAAAAAGAAAAAAAAATACCTATATTCATAAACAAAACTAGCCCAAAATCAATTCCTAAAACACCTGCGCCGAATATAACTGGGTAGTAACTAAACTCCATTTTATGATACTTACGAAATTTTAAAAAAATTATATTTTCTACCTATAAATTCTAAATTTATAATACTTATTATACTAAAAATATAGCTAAACAATTTAAAACCTAAAAAATTGACAAAACACATAAAAAAAATAAAAACAAAATAAAAAATAGTACAAACTAAATTAAAATAGTTAAACGGATAATCAGTAGGATAATGACCAGCCCAAGTTAACCAAAAAAAAATTCAAACAAAACATATAGATAAAAAATATAAAATATTATCCAACATAGTCTGATAATTACTAAACCAAATAAAAATTAACAAAACAAAAATAGAGCCAAATATCAAAATAACACCAAACAACTTATTTGGTACAGAACGCAGAATAGTAAAAGCAAACAAAAAATATCATTCAGGAACTACATGCGCCGGACTGGCTATAGAGTCAGATTCAACAAAAATTATGGGATCACTTAAATTAAAAGAAAAATACAAGCTAAACAAAATTAAAAAAAAATAAAAAAAAATATCAAAACCATCCTTAAATCAAAAGCTAGGGAAAAAGTGAATTTTATCATAATCGCCATGGCAATATAACCTAGAACTAGAGCCAGTAAAATGCAAAAAAAATAAGTGAAAAACAACCAAAACTAATAGCAATCAAGGAAAAATAAAATGAATAGAATAAAAAAACTTCAAAGTATTTTCACAAACACTAAATCTCCCCCAGATTCATCACACCAAATACTTACCCAAATATGGCACAGAAGTTATCAAACTAGTGATAACAACTGCTGCCCAATATCTTATCTGTCCTCAAATTAATACATACCCAGTAAAAGCAATCCCTATTAGAACTAAATATATCGTGACACCACTAATTCAAACACCAGATAGACGGTAACTACCATAAATTAGACCTTTAAAAATATGTAAATAAACAAACAAAAAAAATATAGAAGCACCATTAGAATGTATAATACGAATAAGCCAACCCAGATTAACTTCAAATATAACATACTGAACACTACTAAAAGCGTCACCAGCTGTATAATAAAAAGTCAAAAAAAAACCAGTAATAATTTGGGACATCAGTATAATGCCCAACATACTTCCAAAATTCCATATATAGCTCAAACTATAACTAGCAGGAAGAAAAATCAAAGAATTTAAAAAACCAACTAAAATTTTGGAAAATATCTTCTAATCCAAAAAAAGAAATTTTAATTTAAACTAAATCCAAAAAAAAAAAAAAATATTATTCTAGCTGAGCCGTAATCAGATATAGTAAAATCTATTTAATATTTTTACAATCCACGTATAAACCTGTCACAACCTAAATTAAATCTAATTATACTTAACAAAATAAATAAAACCAAAATTACCCAAAAAACATAATAAAAATTAAAATCATAACAAATACTTAATAAATCATAATCAAAATTAAAAAAAAAAAAATCATAATCAAAAAAAATAAGAAATAAAAAACAAAAAAAAACAAAAGCAACAAAAAAATAACCATAATTATAATAGTAACTACAACTAGAAATACTACAAAAATAAGTTAACAAAGAAAAAATACCACTCAAAAAAATCAAAACAATAAAATAAGAGTATCATACATGAACACCCAAAGAAATATAGCAACTTATAAATAAAATTCCCAAACATATCATAATACAACTTTTTATAGGATCTCAATCTAAAAACCTCAAACAAAAAAACAAAACAGATAAAAAAAAACTAAGATAAAAAAAATATAACAAAAAAGTTAAAAAATTCAAAACAAAAAAAATTCTATAACTTTAAAAAAAAATAGAATAAAATCTTTAGTTTTGAAAACTAAAAGTTTAAAAATTAACCTAAATCTACAATTACTTGCTATAATAACCATAACCAACACGACGATATCTATAACTAGGGGTATTTTTACCAAAAACCTTTCAGCATAAACCAAAACCTAAGATCTCTTCTAAAAAAGAATCAGGTAAAGGAGGGACATTAGAAATATAAGAAGGACTATGCCCATTATAAAAAGAAATACCTAAAAAACGAGAAAAAAAAATAGAATCAATCATTAAATAATTAAACAATATAAACCCAATAAAAGTAATAACAGAGCCTAGTGAAGAAAAAACTTGAAATATAGAATAACAATCTGGATAATCTAGAACCTTACGAGGCATTCCCTGTATACCAGCAAAATGCATAGGAAAAAAAGTTATATTAGTACCAATAAAAAAACAAAAAAAAATAGCAATCATTAATGAACCATCAAAAGAAATACCATACATATAAGGTAACCATAGACAAAACCCGCAAAAAATTCCGTAAACAGCCCCTAGGCTCAAAGTATAATGAAAATGAGCTACAACATAGTAAGTATCATGTAACACCACATCTAAACTAGCGGCTCTCAAAATAATTCCGCTCAAACCCCCAACAGTAAAAAGAAAAATAAAACTATAAGTTCAACATCATAATGGCTGCATTTTTTGGTTAGATCCAAAAAAGGTACCCAACCAATTAAAAATTTTTACAGCTCTAGGAATAGCAATAATTATAGTAGCAGCCCTAAAATAGGTACGAGTATCAATATCCAAGCCAGCTGTGTATATGTGATGACCCCAAACAGACGTACCAAGAACAGCAATTCAAATAGAAGCAAAAGTCATGCTAGTTTGACCAAATAGGCGATCCTTATCAGTTAAGAACAAAACAGCCTCACTAATAATACCGAAAACAGGTAAAATAATAACATAAACTTCAGGATGACCAAAAAACCAAAACAAATGTTGATACAGCAACGGATTCCCTCCATTTTTAGTATCATAAAAAGAAGTGTTAAAATTACGATCAAATAATAAAAACAACAAAGAACCAGCTAACACAGGAACAGACAACACTAACAAAAAAGAAGTTAAATAAGAAGTCCAAACAAACATACTAGCCTGATCTAAAGTAACAGCAACAGAACGCATATTTTGAGTAGTAACTATAAAATTAATAGCACCAAGCAAAGAGCCAATTCCAACAGTGTGCAACCCCAAAATTATAACATCCAAAGAAACTTCCGGCTGACCCTCAACTCTCAAAGGAGGATAAAAAGTTCAACTACTACCAGGCCCACCACCAATAAAAAAAGATTGATAAACCATCAACAAAGCTACAAAAGTAAATCAAAAAGACAAGGCATTAACCCGAGGAAAAGCTATTTCTGGAGCACCAAGCATAACAGGCAATATTCAATTACCAAATCCGCCAATCAAGATAGGCATCACCATAAAAAAAATCATCAAAACCCCATGTATAGTTAAAACAGAATTATACACCTGGCCACTTCCAAAAAATAAATAGCCACCGGGACTAGACAACTCAAGACGAATAATCATAGATAACAAAGACCCTCCGAGACCAGCCCAGTAGCCTAAAATAATATAATACGTACCAATAGT